ACATCAGTGATCAGCACGCACGCACGCACGCGCACGGGCAGTCATACACCAAGCTCAGTATGACGCTTGCTCGAAAGTTGCTTGATCAAGGTTATGTGTAACGACATTCAAAGCCAGCTTTAAAACAGCTGAATTTCCAATACGATGACATATGTCAACCAAGTCAGCGAGCCTGACCACCCGATCCCGTTAGTCGCCTCCTACGACAAGCATGGGTTACTGAAGATCAATTCTAACGCGGATCTTCACGGTTCACATGGACGTAGAACTATATAGCAGATCATACATGTAAAACTAGCATGCATTTCTCACTGGTAGCCAAGTAGTTCCCAGTGATGACATGTGACAGCGACGGAGGAAGAAATGAGTGGTCACTCAGGCTGACCACCACTTCTGTGTCTAACGTACTGACATGATCACCTTCAACATGGATTTCACAAATTGTGCCACACCGTACTCAGGGTCTATGTAAGCTAATTATTATGGTAAAGCACGGTGCACGCTAAGTCTCACTGAATAGACAGAATAGGTAATAGTGTTCATGACTGATAAAGTGGCAACCTCTCATGATAAACAATCGAATTCCATAATGTTTAACAGGCAAAGCAGCGGTGAAAATTATATAAATGAATCAGTAAGCTCATTGATGACATTTGGTTTCCACGAAAGGGTAACACATAAGTATACTAATCTTTGCTTAAAAGCGATGAAACGTTTTCCAAATATACTGAACTGAGTGAGTATTCTTTTACGCCGCTTTTAGCATTATTCCAACAATATCATGAAGGGGTCACCAGGAGTGGTCTTCACACATTATATCCATGTAGGAATGGAACCCGGGTCTTTGGCGTGGCGAGCGTACGCTTTAACTACTTGGTTACCCGACCACCCCCATAACGACTTAAGGTGGAATCACCAATGCATCTGCCATTTTTGGACGGGATTACGCAACATCTCCAGGATCCGCTGATTTTGGATTAAATAAAAGACCGGCAACACTCCGTTTTCCGTCCGCACCAATAATAAGCATAATGATCGATACCACAGATCCATCAAATGGCGATAAAACCCAACCTATCAACCAAAATAAGAATACACTGTGGATGCCACGCTTTTTAGTCCCGATAAAAGGCCTAACTAGCGTCCACCAGAAACTAACACACCATTCAAACGTTCAATTAAGGGAGGGGAAATCTTGCAGGACGAGCCTCTTCGTTTAGTGCCAACTTACCTCCAAAATAAAGAGAATGCTGAAAAATGTATGTCTCCACGGAATTAATGAACAAAAGAAAAAAGAAGAGAAAGAAATTTGTGGTCGAAGATTCTGGAGAACGTGTCCAGGCACAAGGCCTACCATACAACACATCTGAAACACCGCCCAGTCATTCGGTCGCAACCTATTACCCGTTAATTCGTCAAGTTGAGCGAGGATGTTTGCGAGCAGTTTTTGGTACACGCTGAAATAAAAACACTTTCAGATTAGTCCTAGAGGAATGTTCCCAAACAGGAGAGGAAAATAATTTGTGACACATCCGTTAAAATGCAGTACCGCTTTTTTTCAAGGTTCATGTCAGCCATGCCTAGCAACTGTGGGATGACAATAGAAACGTTGTATTCCTTGACAATATGGTTTCATTTGTGTCAGTATGAAAACAAAAAATAGCTGTAGTCATAAAATATACTTTCAAAAAAATATTTTTGAAATACTTTTGAACGCATACTCTAAAAGTATAGAATATGAAAACAGATCATTGTCATATGATCTCAAACCAAAGCATGGAACATGCCTGTTTTCACAGTTAACATCGTTTCAATTAATATAAAATGTCAGAGCCAGAGAACAACCTGTCTCGATTATTCGTCGAAACAGAATCCATTAGGGGTAAAAGGAAAACTAATATTATACGAACAGATCACTGAAATGTATTGGCGACACCAGGGGTTCGAGACAAGGGTCACCATGTCCTGCCCAACAGTGTTAACCAATCATCCGCGCACAATGACATTGGGACGCACAGCATCTCTGTGTGGAGTTCGTTGGTGGGCATAGAAGTATCTGATGGTCCAAGATCCCACGGTATATGATGGGAGGTCGAGAGTCGGTGCAATATCCTTGGGTTTTTGGTTTGGCTTTGACACTGACACAGCCAGGGAACGCAGCATCCAGTGATTTACATGACATCGGTTTTACTGTCAGATCCTAAATTGTCGAACTGTACACGGATGTCTTAAAAATCACTGATTACATCACTGATCATGTCACATATATCTATTTTATCCAGCTAGCGAGCGAGTGTGTATTAATATCTAATGTCTCACTTGCATTGTTTCAGCCATATAGTGACGAAAACAGGTTATTTGTATATGCACAATTACCCAAATTTAAATTTGTCACACACAACGGAACATAACGATATTTGTTCTCATCGATTGGCTTGATAGAGGCAGTGCTTCTCGTAACAGGCGGCAAACGAAATCGTGTGATCAGATTCGCTGACCTTGCAGATATATGTCATTGTATCGCATAGATCGATGCTCGTAGTGTCAATCACTGGCTTGTTTGGTTCAGACAAGACTAATTATATACCACCGCCATTTAGCTGCAAACGTGCTGCGTGCGTAGTTAAACAACACACAACAAACAAGTAAAAAAGTTACATATACAGTTTTCGGGATTTATTTTTAAACACAGCAGAGGCAGCATCATGACGGTTTCAAAACAGTTGATGACAAAGCTAAAATATACACATGAACAATACTGACATGAATCACTAGGAGTCGTTCTGAAACATTGTCCTAAGCACTGTTTAATGTTTCTCTCTATATGGAGCGGTATATAATGTATATCAAAGCTACCAAGTTTCGCCGAGGATTAACTCAGATTGATGTAGTTCCTACAAGCAAATCACAGAAACAGGTCGAAATAATAATAAAACAGAGATCCAAAATATTTTGTGAATTATATAACTGCAGATAATGTGTAGAAAATGAGTCGAGAATGTTCATGAGGCTTATGCAGTTCATAGTCTAATTTATCTGTACAATAAAGACTGTGGACATCCTGCTACATCTATTTATATCCGTTGACAACAATGAGACTGACATTTTGCAATGCATGTATGTCATGCAATACAATGCAATGCAAATTATGAAACAACAGTGTCAATGTGTAATTCCAACCCTGACCGCATTGTTGGATGTATGGACCGATGACCTATGTGGATATTAATAATAATAATAAGAGCGAGTGAACCTTTAGCAATAATTCAGCGATATCGCGGACAACAGGAATGGGCTTCACACGTACCCATGTTGAGATTCGAACTCAAGCGTGATGAGCGGACGCTTTAACCACTAGGCTAACACACCAGAAGAGGGAGAAGAAGAAGATGAGGAGGAGGTGGAGGAGGAGAAACACAAGAGGTCAACCATGGCTCCTACACCTGACACCCTGTATTCCTGACTGCAGCTTACCTTTGTGGAAGTTTACTCTGAAGAGATGTTCGAGATGAATGTAGACACTATCTTGATCTATCATGCTGATACAGAAGTTCCAAGAAATTCTAAATCACTACACCAATCAATAAAATTCGAGATGGAAACAAAAGAGAAATTGCGTTTCAAGACACACGGGTTCTCATTTTCGTTCTGCAATTAATACTGACATGTTTTAAAAGCCTACCCGATCTCACCAACAGCTACAGTTTCAATCCTTCCATCCCCGCCACACAAAGATGACATGTCCCATGTCAAGGAGAATATGCAGTGTGTGTGTGTGTGTCTGTGCGTGCGTGCGAGTGCGTGCGTGTGTGTTTTCCGCCTCTTTCTACCAATATTCCTGCAATATCATCAGGGCGGGGGACACTAGAAATGGGCTTCACACGTTGTAGCCATGTAGCGAATCGAACCCGGGTCTCCGGTTTGACGAGCGAACGCTTAAACGACTAGGCCACCCCACCGCCCTTCTGAAACCAGAAGAGACCCGTCTACAGCAAACATTTCAGTTCGCTCCATTGTTTTGCATAGTTCTATAGATATTCTACTACAGCAGTGACATTGCGGTGGGTGACAATACGTATTCATACATCATAGTGACTGTATTGTTAGCTCTCCGTAGGGCTTCGATGACAGCACGTGGAGCCGTACAACCACTGTAAACAAGGGATTAGTATGCAAATCGAAACAGTGTTTCACGTTCGATGATATTTCTCCAATGAAAGTATGTATATCTGAAGTATATCTAACTCGCGGACTTGGTTGACACATGTCATCGTATCCCAACATTTTGGAGATAGATGTTCATGCTGTTGATCACGGCATTAAAAACAAACACACAAAACTGTAAAACATGAAACAGATTGAAACCATGTGCAATGTTTTGATTGAGCTGTGTAAGATCGGACGAAGCGTGACATGGCGGCGGCCAAACAATGATAAATAATATAATGATATGTTGAGTCTCATGAACGAACAGAAATATCATCTTATTACAGTTCCGTGTACATAATGGAACTTTGTCGGTCTGCCCGAGTGATGACATCACTTTGCAATGGATATGTCTCCTATTATGACAATTATGTTCAGGGGAAAATACGAAAATGCTTATCTTTAATATGAAAGTAGATGTAAGGCTGTTCGATGAAACAAGAGTCCCCGTACGCGACTTACCTGGCTGCAAGATGAGACTAGATGTACCTGGTTGTAGAATGAAACAAGGCGTACCTGGTTTTGAAATAAAATAAAATGTGCCTGGTTGTAAAATGTAACTAGATCTACCTGTCTGTAAGATGAACCAGATCTACCTGGTCGTAAGATGAAACTAGACGTACCTGGTTGTAGAATGAAACCAGGTGTATCTGGCTTTGAAATAAAACAAAATGTACCTGATTGTAAAATGTAACTAGATCTACCTGTTTGTAAGATGAACCAGATGTACACGGTTGTAAGATGAAACTAGATGTACCTGGTTGTAACATGGACCCATATGGACCTGGTTTGAAATGAAACTAAATGGACCTGGTCGTGAGATGAAACTAAATGGACATGGTCGTGAGATGAAACTAAATGGACCTGGTCGTAAGATGAAACTAAATGGACCTGGTCGTGAGATGAAACTAAATGGACCTAGTCGTGAGATGAAACTAAATGGACCTGGTCGTGTGATGAAACTAAATGGACCTGGTCGTGAGATGAAACTAAATGGACCTGGTCGTGAAATGAAACTAAATGGACCTAGTCGTGAGATGAAACTAAATGGACCTGGTCGTGAAATGAAACTAAATGAACATGGTCGTGAGATGAAACTAAATGGACATGGTCGTGAGATGAAACTAAATGGACCTGGTCGTGAAATTTAACTAAATGGACCTGGTCGTGAGATGAAACTAAATGGACCTGGTCGTGAAATGAAACTAAATGGACCTGGTCGTGAGATGAAACTAAATGGACCTGGTCGTGAGATGAAACTAAATGGACCTGGTCGTGAGATGAAAACTAATGGACCTGGTCGTGAAAATGGACCTGGTCGTGAAATGAAACTAAATGGACCTAGTCGTGAGATGAAACTAAATGGACCTGGTCGTGAGATGAAACTAAATGGACCTGGTTTTAAGATGAAACTAAATGGACCTAGTCGTGAGATGAAACTAAATGAACCTGGGCCTACATTTTCGAAGCTGTCTTAGCGCTAAGATAGTCGTAAGTTAATGAAAATGTATGACACTTACGACTATCTTAGCGCTAAGAGAGCTTAGAAAATCTAGGCCCTGGTTTTAAGATGAAACAATGTGTATCAGGTCCTGAGATGAACCTATGTGTACTGTCGTGGTATAGTTAGCTACGCAAGATGTATGTCTCGACAAGAAGCCAAACTATTCAGTGGACGTCATAACTGAGGCTTCTCTAGGAACGTCACAACGAAGTCTTCTCGATATTCCAGCAGTAAATAGTGTTGTATCTAGTGAAGACAATAATGTATCAGCACTTTCAGCTGGATGTACACAAGTGAATATATTCGCTATACTATAGTGTCATGGCCTTCTTTTCCATGTTAATGAGACCTTCATATTTAATGTTGATACCTTTAGGCCAATCATACTGTAAATAGCTGCACATCACCATGTATTTATTTTTATTTTTTTTAAACGGGAAAAAAGTACATCGACAGTTTATTAACCCAAGTATGTTATTTTTGGCTTACATCAAATGGGCTTGTTTTACCATGCTCATCTCTTTCATTTATTCCATGTCATTACATTTGAGCTCGTGCTTCTCTCAAAGAAATCTGAATGTGATTTATATCCCTGCAATTTTAATCCTCAGGAACAATTTTTCAGAAAAGTGAGTTTCAAATCTTCCAAATGGAATCGATAGATTTGCGATGATATTGTGTCACGGCGTTCATTTTCCAGTGTTCCAGAGAACCTTAAGGATTGAATCAGAATCAAAAGGTATCATTCATGGCAGATTAGAACCAACTGTTCCGGAATTGTTCCAGGGCCTATTGGTCAGTCCTGCTAGCCTATGATCATAGTGATCACTCATTCAGCAAGGAAGAGCGATAGAGATCATTGCCCGGCCATTGTGAGTGATAGGTCGTCTCCGGAGTGCAATAGAACTACTTAACGGACGCGCTCCTTCAATCTCCCGTCTCCTACAATCACACATCCACGATCTGTACACTACATTACAGCCGCGGGATGATGAACAGTGCGGTGGGAAAGGGGATGGGAGAGGGGAGGATGAGGCAGAAGGGTGTGGCGACGACTGCGAGTATGTGCTTTGTGAATATGTAAATTTGTAGGTACATGAAAATAACAGGTATGTGTCTCTACAGGTATCCTTATTTGCATAAATGACATTTTGTGATTAATTTTGATTGATGTGAGTTCAGGATTTGAAATGCGTGTGTTTGTGTGTGTGTGTGTTTGTGGGAAGGGGAGTGAGTTTTAGGGATACGGGGATTAGGGGAGGGGTGGGGTGTCGGTAGGGGAGAGGCACGAAAGAAGGCTAGGAGGATAATGATATTTGAGTATTTGGCAGATTGAATATTGTTTGGGGGTTATGTCGGTTGTGATTAATAGACGATATATATTTCAGTGACATTTGACATATACATGACTTTGTTATGCATACATGTTAATCGGTCTGTTTGTGTGGGATACACAATGAAGTGAAGGGGTGAAGGCAACACAAGAAGAGGTATGATTCATTAACCAATCCGTTCATTTAGTCATCATGAAGCTATCACGTCAGTAGTCTAGGTTGGCTGGCCTATTAAGGAGGGGGTAGATGTATGAGTCATACTATTTAAGTATATATTGTGTGGTGAGCTAGACAGCGTTGTTATATACATGAGTAGGAATCCGAGAGATTGAGATTGAGTGGAGGTAGGCAGTAGGCGGTGAAATGATTCACAAACATACATATTCAAGTTTTTCTTATCAGCCTGGACTCCTAAATTTCAACTTGGGAGTACATGTAGGTCTGGTTCGTTGCCCACTGCAAGTAAGTTGGACATTTGTGTGGAAGGTGGCGAGAGAATAGTCATGGTGAAGCAATGTGCGTACTGGTTTTGCTGGAGACTAGATTATTGAGCGCCTGGTGGTTTGGGTGGAGGCTGGATGGGTTGGGAACTAGAACATGGTTGGTCTTATTGAGTGTCTGGTGGTTTGGGTGGAGGCTGGTGGGGTGTCTGGTGGTTTGGGTGGAGGCTGGATGGGTTGGGAACTAGAACATGGTTGGTCTTATTGAGTGTCTGGTGGTTTGGGTGGAGGCTGGATGGGTTGGGAACTAGAACATGGTTGGTCTTATTGAGTGTCTGGTGGTTTGGGTGGAGGCTGGATGGGTTGGGAACTAGAACATGGTTGGTCTTATTGAGTGTCTGGTGGTTTGGGTGGAGGCTGGATGGGTTGGGAACTAGAACATGGTTGGTCTTATTGAGTGTCTGGTGGTTTGGGTGGAGGCTGGATGGGTTGGGAACTAGAACATGGTTGGTCTTATTGAGTGTCTGGTGGTTTGGGTGGAGGCTGGATGGGTTGGGAACTAGAACATGGTTGGTCTTATTGAGTGTCTGGTGGTTTGGGTGGAGGCTGGATGGGTTGGGAACTAGAACATGGTTGGTCTTATTGAGTGTCTGGTGGTTTGGGTGGAGGCTGGATGGGTTGGGAACTAGAACATGGTTGGTCTTATTGAGTGTCTGGTGGTTTGGGTGGAGGCTGGATGGGTTGGGAACTAGAACATGGTTGGTCTTATTGAGTGTCTGGTGGTTTGGGTGGAGAGGCTGGATGGGTTGGGAACTAGAACATGGTTGGTCTTATTGAGTGTCTGGTGGTTTGGGTGGAGGCTGGATGGGTTGGGAACTAGAACATGGTTGGTCTTATTGAGTGCCTGGTGGTTTGGGTGGAGGCTGGATGGGTTGGGAACTAGAACATGGTTGGTCTTATTGAGTGTCTGGTGGTTTGGGTGGAGGCTGGATGGGTTGGGAACTAGAACATGGTTGGTCTTATTGAGTGTCTGGTGGTTTGGGTGGAGGCTGGATGGGTTGGGAACTAGAACATGGTTGGTCTTATTGAGTGTCTGGTGGTTTGGGTGGAGGCTGGATGGGTTGGGAACTAGAACATGGTTGATCTTATTGAGTGTCTGGTGGTTTGGGTGGAGGCTGGATGGGTTGGGAACTAGAACATGGTTGGTCTTATTGAGTGTCTGGTGGTTTGGGTGGAGGCTGGATGGGTTGGGAACTAGAACATGGTTGGTCTTATTGAGTGTCTGGTGGTTTGGGTGGAGGCTGGATGGGTGGGCAAGTAGAACATGGTTGATCTTATTAAGTGTCTGGTGGTTTGGGTGGAGGCTGGATGGGTGGGCAAGTAGAACATGGTTGGTCTTATTAAGTGTCTGGTGGTTTGGGTGGAGGCTGGATGGGTTGGGAAGTAGAACATGGTTGATCTCATTGAGTGTCTGGTGGTTTAGGTGGAGGCTGGATGGGTTGGGAAGTAGAACATGGTTGATCTTATTGAGTGTCTGGTGGTTTGGGTGGAGGCTGGATGGGTTGGCAAGTAGAACATGGTTGGTCTTATTGAGTGTCTGGTGGTTTGGGGGGAGACTGGATGGGTTGGCAAGTAGAACATGGTTGATCTTATTGAGTGTCTGGTGGTTTGGGTGGAGACTAGATGAGTTGGGAAGTAGAACATGGTTGGTCTTATTGAGTGTCTGGTGGTTTGGGTGGAGGCTGGATGGGTTGGGAAGTAGAACATGGTTGGTCTTATTGAGTGTCTGGTGGTTTGGGTGGAGGCTGGATGGGTTCGGAAGTAGAACATGGTTGATCTTATTTAGTGTCTGGTGGTTTTGGTGGAGGCTGGATGGGTGGGCAAGTAGAACATGGTTGATCTCATTGAGTGTCTGGTGGTTTAGGTGGAGGCTGGATGGGTGGGCAAGTAGAACAAGGTTGATCTTATTGAGTGTCTGGTGGTTTGGGTGGAGGCTGGATGGGTTAGGAAGTAGAACATGGTTGGTCATATTGAGTGTCTGGTGGTTTGGGTGGAGGCTGGATGGGTTTGGAAGAAGAACATGGTTGGTCTTATTAAGTGCCTGGTGGTTTGGGTGGAGGCTGGATGGGTGGGCAAGTAGAACATGGTTGATCTCATTGGGTGTCTGGTGGTTTGGGTGGAGGCTGGATGGGTTGGGAAGAAGAACATGGTTGGTCTTATTGAGTGCCTGGTGGTTTGGGTGGAGGCTGGATGGGTGGGCAAGTAGAACATGGTTGGTCTTATTGAGTGTCTGGTGGTTTGGGTGGAGGCTGGATGGGTGGGCAAGTAGAACATGGTTGATCTCATTGAGTGTCTGGTGGTTTAGGTGGAGGCTGGATGGGTTTGGAAGAAGAACATGGTTGGTCTTATTAAGTGCCTGGTGGTTTAAGTGGAGGCTGGATGGGTTGAGAAGTAGAACATGGTTGATCTTATTGAGTGTCTGGTGGTTTGGGTGGAGGCTCGATGGGTTGGGAAGAAGAACATGGTTGGTCTTATTAAGTGCCTGGTGGTTTAGGTGGAGGCTGGATGGGTTGGGAAGTAGAACATGGTTGATCTTATTGAGTGTCTGGTGGTTTGGGTGGAGGCTAGATGATTTGGGAAGTAGAACATGGTTGGTCTTATTGAGTGTCTGGTGGTTTGGGTGGAGGCTGGAAGGGTTGGGAAGAAGAGCGTGGTTCGTCTTCTTCAGTGCCTGGTGGTTTAGGTGGAGGCTGGATGGGTTGGGAAGTAGAACATGGTTGATCTTATTGAGTGTCTGGTGGTTTGGGTGGAGGCTGGATGGGTTTGGAAGAAGAACATGGTTGGTCTTATTAAGTGCCTGGTGGTTTAGGTGG